ACTGATGCTATTGCTGTTATGATTAATGGTGATAGAAAAGTTACTCACTTTATGTTTTTTTAATTATTTTATGTTATTGATGGAAACATGGTTAGTGAGGTTAAGTAAACTGTCACATGTAGAAATAAAAATGGAATAGTGCTACAATTGCTGTTGATATTGGTAGAATAATGCTATTGGGTTCTGTTAGTTCTTTAATTACTTATTTGGATAAGGACCCTGATAGTGAGGACTATAATTTTAGTACGTGGTGATACAGCTACAGTAAGAATGAGAATGCTAATTAGGGGTATTTTATTTAATATATATGGTGATGATACTGTGGTAGATGAATTGTGGATGAATAACACAGGTAGATTATAGACGTTTAAGCCGTTTCATTTCTAGATTTATAGGAATTGAACCTACTCCTGAGCACTAAAAAATATAAGCTACAATAAGGTCAAGTAGGCATGAATTTAGAATTATTGTGGTGGGATAAATCAAGTTACTATTCATCCTATGTGGGTGATTGAGGAATAGGTTGTGCATTTCATCATTGGGCTTGATTGTCCCCTTCACCCTACAATAATTGATAAAGTAGATGTGATTGATACTTGTGATGGGAAGTCATGTGATGGGAGCTGGGGTGAGGAGGAGGGGCTTCAGGAGCCTCTCCACAGACTGCTGTCTACTAGCTGCCCAGAGCTTCCTTTGCTGTGCTGTGGAGAGGTAGGGGGGGTAGGTGGAGGCACTGGCGGTGAGCGCTGCCAGTGCCCCTCCAAAGGAGCCGATGAGCTGGGGAGGGGGTCCTATGTGGGTAGCAGGGATGCCAGCTCTACCTGCCCAGCAGCCCCTACTTCGGCCGGAAGTGCGCTATCTGGGCACCAACAGCAAACACACCAGGTGCAGAGCTCACTGGAGTAGACACTGCTGTGCCCAAGAGACAAATGGGAGTGTCTGGGCGTCGACCCGGACTGTAAGGCCAGGCTCCAGGCCACCTCCATCGCGGACTCTGGCCTACGTGCACATCTTGATTTTTTCCCTTTCTTCCGGGTGCTCTCCCAAGGGCATCCACTTCAACCTCTGCCCTTGATCCGCCAGCCACCCAAGGGCTCTTCTGCTCAGCACCAAGGTAGTAGTGAGGGGTAGTGGAGGTGGAAGGAGACCCCTAAGTTTGGGGACTCAACTGCTCCTCCTACTCTTTGTTACTGCTTTGCTTTCTGCTCCCCTTTGACCCAAGCCCATGCCTCTTCCTCTAAGGAGCCTGTGACCCCCATCCTTGGCTTCCAGCTGACCTTCTCTCACCCACTGCATCTCTCCAACCGGTCTGCTTGGATCCCTGAGAACAGCTGCCTGCTCTTCCCTCCTTCTGTCCACCCAGGGGGTTGGGTTTGAGTCTGGGATGAAGGGAGGTTGTGATTTCATTACTTAACTTCTTTCCCCACCTCTGCTCTTCAACCTAGAAGTCAGCTCTGAGACTGGAGGATTTGACTCATGACAGCCCCCAATCCAATTCTATTTTCTGATGCAAGTTAAGGGAGTTGGAAGGGTTTTGGAGGAGGCAAGTTGGAGGGTAGAACTGGGTTATACAGAAACAACTACTCTCTGGGGAGAAAGTAGGAGGGATTCTAAATATTATTTTTCAATTTCTACCTCCGTAGCTCACGAGGGATAAGGAATGGTTGCCATGATTGAAACTGTACCTAACACATTATTTCCTTCCCCATCCTTTTTTCCAGCACTCATTTAGAAGCAAAGCTACCACCCCACCTTCCCCAGCCCACCCCCCCCCCCAGGTATTTTCACTGCCTAGGTCCTTTCCCCTTTATTTAGCGAAGTTCCGAAAGTTCCGTTTGTGGGTTTCTGGCTTTTCTCCAGGTCTTTGTTTAGGGTTTCAATCAGAGAACCTGGGAACAGAGGTTTGGATTTCCAGGGCCAAGAGTTTTGGGTATAATCTACTTTTCTAGTACCTTTTGCCTTCTGTCACATACCAGCTTTTGTCCTTCATTTTGATGGCCAAGGTCAATTTATGTTCCTGGGGAAAAAGGAAGATGGCTTGTATTTTGGGAATAAAATTTAGTTGGTGCTTTTGTGAAAATATTTTTTTTTCATAGCAGATGTGTAAGTTGGTCATGTCAGAATTGTGGATATGATATTCAAATTTAGGGAACAAAGAGTCAGGAAAAGATGTTTATTAGTAAAGCTGATTGAATACAATTATGTCATGTAGGGGTTGTGAAATATTCATGGGAATAAGATTATTGTGGATAAGCTTATTATATTAATGCTGGCATATTCTGCTAGGAAGAGCAGAATGAATGGATCTTCTGCATATTCAACCTTGAAGTCAGAAACTAGTTTTGGCTTTCTTTTTGTTAGGTCAAAGAAGCTGGCTTAGGTCCTGCCACGGTTGAATCATATTATGGCTATTGGTCATGGGAGTAAAATTAATCATGTGCACTGATGGAGGCCAAGAGTAGAAAAGTTAGGATGGAAGTGTCACAGACCAGAAACCAGAGGTGGGGGTAGGAATGATCAACATAGTTATTAAACCAGCTGAAAAAAATGAAAAATCCTTTGGTTCCAACTGCTATACCAAGTGTCAGACTGCTATAGAAAATATCATAAGAGGTGGGGAGACTGAGATCATTATAAAAGAGTTCCTGTCCTTACAAATCAATCTAGTTACACACTAAAATTGACTAACAGTAGATAACAATTCTACAAAGGAATGAACCCTTCCCCAAAAGAACATTCCATCAATACAATTTCTGCAGCTCTCCTGCCCACCTGTGCTTGTGCGGTACCTCTATTTTTCTTTTTCCTTTTCCTGTTGGTGTCTGTACAAACGTCTTAGTCTCCTGGGCAGACTCACCACGTTCAGCTGAAAGGGAAACTCTGCCAAAACTTTTCTCTCAGAGGTAACCCAAGGATTCCACTCACTGAGCCCAAAATTTCATCAAAATAACAAAGTGTATTCTTAGGTGATGATTAGAGGTTGGGAGTGTAAACGACCCATTTATAAATAAGACTGCTAATAAGATATTTGTTAATGTCATTTCATAAGAAATTGTGGTTCTGCTTGTGGTGCTCCAATTAATGGGTATTTTAAATTTGAGGCTCAGCTCTATTGGAGAACAGACAGCTAAATTTGATTCTGACTGATGTGATGGAGCAGAACCTAGACAAGGCGATTTTCCACCGGGAGAAATGCACTACTTCCAAGCAGAAATTTGTTTACCACTTGCTGTCCCCATACCTTTGACTCCATATAAAAAGATGTAAGTGTGGGAATTTCACCACAGAAGTTCTGATTCCAGCAGAAAGCCCGAAATAGGTGAATCTCAAGACAAAAAATGTGGGATTAAAACAAAATATATATTAATAACTAGGTACAAGAACTATATTTTCAACAAAAGAAAAATACAAAATAAACTTGTAGGGAAAGAATACCAGGTAAGTGTCAGCAAAGTAAAAACAGCAACAGTTGTGTCCTTACCAAAATAAAATCAATGTCAAAAGCACAAAACAAGAAAAATACGTAACAGTAAGATGCAAAATAGCCTAAGGTTTACACTTCAAGGTCCATCCCCCCCAAAAAAAACAAAAAAAAATTTTTTGAAAATATTCTAACATTTATTCTATCTTTTGATAATGTAACAAAGTAAAAAAAGAGAAAAGACAAACATTCAGAGTAAGAAATCAATCATCAAACTAGATTGAAAATCTGTACGTAACAAAATACATATTTTCTTATCTTATACCTGTGAAAGATTTACTGAATTCAGTTGAGTATCTGGGACATGGAAATCCTGACTAAGTTTTACAAGTTCAGATTCAGAAGGTTACATGCAATACTTAAGCTTATAATTACAAAAATGAAAGTAAACTGTCTATCTTGTAATCCTTCATATTTACAAAAAAAGAACTGGAGAGTCAAAAACAATCAGTTTTGGAATTTGACTTTTAAAAATGATGAAAAGAACCAAAAAATCAAGCAAACACATGAAAATGAAGAAACATAAAACAAAACAAACAAAAAAAGTAGTGGAATATAAAGCTAAGGAATAAAAATAAAACAAAGAAATCCATTAGATGGATTAGCCTCTGGAAATCTGATCAATTTGAAATGAAAGAAAAAAATACTGTATTCAAATATGAAGTTAAGCCAGACAGGGAGTAATATAAACTCACTTTATATTGGAATGTGTATAAATCTAGAGCAATACTTAAATGTTTAGGTGAAATATATAAATCCCTGAGAAAAGTCATTGTAAAAATTAATGAAAAAAATTCTAATGAACCAGTAAGTATAGAAAAAAATAGTGCAAGTGTCTGAGACACTTTTACTCAACAGATAGGCTGCAAAGAGCAGACCCAGAGTGGGGTGTTGGGAAGGAAGCCAGACTGACGGCTGGTGTGAGATGAGGAGCTTGCCAGGTGCTGAGGTGGACAGGAAGCTGGGACCTCAATGGTTAGAGCCAGAACAAGACGGGTGAGGGTAGAAGCATGATTGCCCCCCCCAACCTTGAGTTCTCTTGAGTGTCCCAAAGTGGAATCATCCGGGGAGACTATCCTGCACTCACCTACCCCCCATGCTAACATTTTTAACACCTCTGACCAGGGGAATATTTATAATTCCCAGGCTTTCTCCCAACCACTGTGTTCTGCGTCCACCCTTTCCAAGCTGTCCTAGCCAAGCTGGTTTGGAATTGAGTTTGTGGCCACAGATACCAGTTTAGGAACCATCGGGGAATATTAAGAGCTTTTGTTACTCCAAAATTCATTACCAAAACTCTGGCAGAGGGAGATGAAGGCAGGCCATGTCCAGGTTCAGGGGAGGACGAGATGGTGGACACCCTGCACCCGGGGAACAGGGTCAAGAGACCAGACGGTGAGCACAGAAGCACAGAGAACTTCCAGGATGCCCTAAGAAGCAGACAGACAGGTGTGCGAGCAATCTGTGCAGTGTTTCCCTCACGCAGGGCACTGGGTGTAAGACCTCAGGTGTGCACAGCTCAGTTTTCATCTTTGGAACGCAGGTCCGTGGTGAGGGGGTCATGCTGAATTGTCTGGTGAAGCATCAGACCCAGCAGGCCCGCCCGGTTAGTCATGGATGTGTGCACGTTGCGCTCCTGCTCAAGCAGCTCTTCCAGCTTGTGCAGCTGTGGAAGGTGAGTGTGAAGGGGGCCTCCCGGATCCTACTGCTTGCCCCAGCCCCTCCGAGCATCACCGCTTACCGCACGCACACGCTCCAGGTCCACCTCGGCACGCCTCAGCTTCTCCCAGCAGTAGTGGTGGCTGCACAGGCGCTTGGGGAGGCGACAGAAGTCACCAGTGAGCTCAAAAACGTTATGCACTAGTGGGCAACCACACACCTCATCATCTGTTACCTATGGGCAGAATGGGGGGTGATGAGGTAGGGAGGAGGAAGGTGATGGGGCAGACATGATGAAAATAGGGGACTAGTGGGCAGCTGGACCGGAAGGAACAAAGTAGAAAGTGATGGGGTAGGACGGAAGAGAGGAATCCAGTGGTTTAGTAGGAAGAGGGGGTGAAAGGGACGTGACCAAGATAGAGAATGGAGGCATGAAGTTAACAAGGCATGGAGGAATGGATAAGACCAGGCAGAAAGGGGAACGAACAGAAGGACCCCACAGGAAGAAGAGGGGTGAAGGCAAGTCAGAGAGAGGATGACTAGGGTTGTAAGGAGAGGGGAGGTGAGTGATGAGGTGGGAGGAGCGGGGCGGGCTAAACACTGAGGAAGAGAAGAGTTGGGAGATGACAGGCAGGGAAGGGATGACTGGGCAGAAAGAAGAATCAAGAGAAGTCAGAAAACGAGGAAGAAAGGAGTTGATGGCCGGCGTCCAGGGAGGAGAGGAGGCGTGTGGGCAGGCGTGGTGGGCAAGGAATGGAGGTTGGTCAAGCAAGAAGAATGGAGAACGCTTGAGCAGTAAGGAGCAGAAGAATGGAGGGTGGTTAGGCAGAGAGGGAGTGAGAAATAGTGCGGGTCAGGTGAGGAAGTTTAGGTAAACAGCAGTCAGGCAAAGGGAAAGTGAATAGGTGTTCACGGTGTGGTAATATACATCCAGAAAGGTGTGCGCCTGTACCCCTAAATTAGATACAGTATCGTAAACCAGTGTTACCCCATAAAAAATAACATACTTAAAATTTACACAAGAGAATAGGTGATCAAGCAGCGAGGAGAGGATAACATGGGGTTGTCTGGAAGGGAAGAGGGAACACGTGAGCCTGGCCAGGCGGGAGGAAGGTGGTCAAGCAGGGAGGAGGGGCGAGAAGGAGAGCAACGAGTAGGACAGGAACAGTCTCACCTTGGGGTCCCGAGAGTGCTCCGGACACAGCACCTGGAGCCGCTTACAGTACCTCTTACTCTGTGGGTCATACACATCACAGAAGAGCCTTGTGGCCCTGACAGGAAGTTGAAAGTGAGGTGCTGAGAATGGGGAGCAGGGAGGTCTCGCCCTGAACCCTGATCTCACTTTGTCTGCAAGCCCACCCATACCCTGCCCCGTTCGCACCCACCTCTGTATCTGAGCCCACTTCACATCATGTCTTTGACCCTGCTGGTACCCACACTTACCCCTCGATGCAAGTGGGGTATAGTGACCCAAAGGACGATTTGCACTCATACTGGGAAGAAAGAACACAGGTGGGAGGAACTTAAGACAAAAGCCGCTGCACACCGTCCCGTGGCATAGCTCACACAACACATTTGTCCCCTGTAGATCTTATGCTGCCCAGCCTTTGTGCCCCCTCGCTGCTGACTGACACCCCAGTCATGGCCCCCATACCACGGATGGAAGAAAAGCACAAATGGGTAGAGCCAGGAACCAAACCTCCCCTCCTCCCAGTAGATTCCACACAGCCAATGACACCCTTGCCCCATGCTGCCCCCAGGCAAAAAAAAACCTGACCTTGGCAAAGCAGCGCTCCATGTGGCGCAGGGCAACACTCATATTGATGGTTTGCCCACAGGAGACACAGAAGATCTTCAGGTCTACACCATCCTTGCTGCCTTTTTTACTCTGTGGGGAACACTGAAGCAGTACAGAGTGAAGACAGCTAAAGCAAGATCCCCAGATACCACCCCACCCATTCCCTTTTACCTCCTCATCCCTGCACACAGTCTGCTGCTTGCCACGCTGAATGATGGCCTCAAGTTCATGGAACCGACACTCCATGTACTTCAGGCGGGCGTGGGTGTCCTGCTGCTCACGGTGAATGCGCTCGAGTATTTTTTTGCTTTGCTCCTCAGCAATGCAGGGACTTTTCTGCCACTGCTGGATGCGCGTGGGCAGGATCTCATAAATGCGTCTGGGAGACCGCAGAAATGGAATGGGTAAGTGAGAGCATCACAAAAAGGGAGGAAGCCTCTCTGGTGGCACAAGGGATCGTGTCTCAGCACTATGAAGCTATCAGCAGCCACTGCAGCACGAGTTCGATCCCTGGCCAGGGGGGTGACCCACATGGTGTGGCAGGCCTCCTCTCTCTCACCCGCTGCTCCCTTCAGCAGTGTATTTCAGTCAATCTGATTGACTGAAATACACTGTCTCTCGTGAATCCTCTTACTATCACCACCACCCCTGCACCTCTGACCTACACCCCAGCTTTTGTATGCATAAATAAATAAATCTTTTATTAAAAAAAGAAAAGGAGGCGTGATCCACCAACTAGAGAATGTAACGAATAATTAATAGAGGATGAATGGTGATTGAAAAGTAGACGGATGGATGTGTGAAGAAAGAGGGGTGAGTGGGGAAATAACCATAAAGGTGAATGAGTGGGTTAGTGGGTGGAATGAGACTGGGTGCTTGAGTGGGTAGTTGGCTATAAGGATGGACGGATGGATAGTGGGAGGATGCACCGGGCATGGATGGATTTGCAGAAAGCACAGATAATGCCCTACTCCATGCCCTGTTTCTTAACCTCCAGGTGCACTCACTCAGCTGCCAGCTTCATGCCACAGTCGTCCGAGCAGTACTTGGAGCCTGGCCTGCTGGGATACACACACTTAGGTCCCAGGCACTGCTTTAGCGAGGCTGAGGCTGGGTTCTCCGCATCTGTCTTCTCTGAGTCTTTCAACTCATCTACAGGCTGCTTCTCGGTATCTGTCCTCTCTGAGTATTTCAACTCATCCTCAGGCTGCTTCTCGGCATCTGTCTTCTCTGGGTGTTTCAACTCATCCTCAGGCTGCTTCTCGGCATCTGTCTTCTCTGGGT